TAACAGTAAATCGAGTAACAAAATTTTAAATGAGGATGTTTTCTATTAAAACTTCATTGGTTTATTTTAAATAAACCTCCATTATGAATTATTTGCAAAACACTTTCAGATCATGATACATTCAAAGCTCAAATATCCTAGTTCTTATGACATGCGATTTGTAACCACTACCAACATCTTACCAACCTTTCATCATTTAAACTATGTGGAAAAAAGATGCCTCCTCGTAGATATAGCAAGCATAACAACAACGCGTCAACAAATCCACCACCGCCTCCACCGCATTTTGATCCTGTTGCATTTCAGGCTGTCATAACTGCTGCTATAGCAGCTATCAGGACTCAAAATCATGTGAATGTTGCTAGTGGGGCAGGAAGTGGTACTAACGACTTTAACTTTAGAAATAGCCATGGACACTCTAGGGAGTGTACATACAAAGACTTCATGAACTGCAAACCCAAATCCTTTAGTGGAAGCGAGGGAGTCATTATTCAGATGCAATGGTTTCCAAAAGTAGAATCGACATTCGAGATCTGTACGTGCCCGGAAGGAAGCAAAGTTATGTTTGTTGCGTGCACCTTTTATGATAGGGCCATTACATGGTGGAATGACCATGTTAACTCACTAACACTCACGGTGGTGAATTCAATAGATTGGGAGAGTCTGAAAGCAATGATGACAGAAGAGTACTGCCCAGGGGTGAGATACATAAGCTAGATCAAGAAATGCGGAACCTTACTATGACAGGCTCTGATATGGTGGCCTATTCTGATAGAATCAGTGATCTAGCGGCACTATGCCCCAGGATGGTGTTGGACTAAAGTCTATGTCAATAACTATAATTGGTAAGACTTGACCCGACCCGTCATGGTCCATTTGGGTTGCATGTCATCATGCATTTGGATACACTATAATGAGAGAAATAACAATTAATGTTTAGTTAATATATTATAAGTTCTAATATATTAATAAGATTATTTAATTAGTATTGATCATGAATTAATGTAGGATTAATTAAGTGATCAAAAGAAGACTAATTAAATATATGGTTTGATTGTGTAAATCATGCATACTAATATAGTGGACTAATGCTCCATGGATTATCAAGTTGGGCTAAAACCCATAGGATTCTCCGTGGATGCTCCATGGTGTATTTGAACCCATGGATCCAAGGAACTGGAAAGCCATGACAATTAGGGTTTACCCTAATTGTCACACTATATGAAGATCATATTCTTAGGAAAAATCGAACACTATGAGTGAGAATGAAGGGCTAGACGATTTCATGAAGTGTGTGTGTTCTCTCAAGTTATTCCAAGTGTATTTGGTGTTGTGTGAACCATTTGAGGTGTCACACTTGGGGCACTAGGCACTCAGGCTTCATGAAGACTTTCTACATCAAAGAGGTATGCAATTCTAACTTGATATATTCATATGAATCATGTTATTATTTGCATGTATAATAGATAAAACATAGATCCAAGGTATTTAGGGTTACATGTACACTTAGGAGTGTTAGAATGCTCAAAACCCATCAGTGGTATCAGAGCCTAGGCTTGTTTTCTTGTTATACTTGCAAAGTTGGCTGAAAAATCGAAGTTTGGAGCTGTTTGCACAGCAGACTCGCCGAGTCCATGAAGGGACTCGACGAGTCCAAGGCAAAAATCATACAACTCGTCGAGTTGGTTCATGCACTCGATGAGTTGGACCCCCTGACAGCTTATATTCGATAGTTTTGGTTAGAAATGGACTAAGAACATTACCATAAGCTGTTTTTGGACTTATAAACTTGTTTTTGATGTGGTAATGTTCATACTAATCGAATTTCAAAGATAATTGTCAATAGATTCATGTTTTGTATTAGTTTAAGTGTTATGCTAATTACATGAAAACGTTTGATTCCAATTATCTTGTTCATATGAGTTCCTTAGATTAATAGAAAAAATTAATTGATTATGTGTTTTCAATCCATTTTAATCTAAGAGTTGATTCTAAAATGTGTTTTTGTAACTTGTCCTCAAGTTGTATGAAAAGTCACATTTAAGTTTCATAAAACTCATAAAATTTGGCAATGGTTACAAAAAATGAAGAGTCTTGTCCTCAAGTTATGGAGGTTCAAGAGTCACTTCATTAAGTAGTAAAATGTGTAACCTTAATTTATTCCATAAGTTACAAAAATAAAGAAAAGTTACATTCTTTTATTAGTTTAAAGTCTTCCATAACTTGACCTCAAGTTATGGAACTTGAAGAGTCTTTTAATTAAAACCACTTTGAACACATAAGTTATGGAATTAATTAGTTTAGAATAGTTTCAAAACATGCCCTCAAGTTTTGAATTTGAAAAGTTTTGACATATGAATACTTTAATTCCAAGTTAGCCCTTACAATTTTAAAAGTTAAAATTCAACCCTTATACTTTATAATATAATAAGTTAATAATATTTATATATATATATATATATATATATATATATATGTATGTATGAGAGTAAAGTCAGTCTTACCGTTAGTAGGCCTCATTCACGAAGCGATTCTATAAGGGGGGGTATAAGGTTACTGCCTATAAAATGGCAGTTTAATGGGTGTCCACTCTCACCCACCGCTTCCTTGACTGGTGGAGGGTCGTTAGCCGAACGGGTAGGACAAGGACTATAATTCTCCTTTCATTAAAAGTATTAATGATAAATACTAAGTAACTAAACCTTTTATAAATACCCAATCTTAGTTACTTAGGAAAAAGTGAATAAGGTGCTAACCCATGAAATTACACTTTGCACTATGCTTAAGTCGTTAGTGGAGTGTGTGTGGTTAACCGACACACTAACCTAGACTTAAAAAGGTAGGCAAAGGGTAACTTAATATTATCATAGTGTCGGTGGAGCGTGTGTGGTTAACCGACACATCGATTAAGGGGTAAATATTAGGGATACCCAGTATATTTGCATGGTTACGTCACACCTTATTATGTGATCCTCAGCATCCCAGTCACAAAACCTGAAGGACCCACTCGAGATTGAAACATGCCATTGAAAAGTTCAATGAATCTCAAAGATCTAGGAGTTTCAAAACCAATTAAAACCTAATAATACATTTCGTTTATCTTGGTGGAAATTCGTGAATCGTCATTCACCTACCTTCAAATATTTTATAGCTTGGATTACGGCATCCCTCTTCCAAGTTGTAGAAGTATTGTGTTGGGTCCTAGCCTTAATATGTCATATTGGGTGTTATAATAAGGACTTTAGATCAACTATCTTGAATATCTCCCAAAAAGATGTCTGGTTCAGCCTTAAAAGTATTGTGTTGTATCCTAGCCTTAATATTTCATATTAGGTGTTATATTAAGGACTTTAAATCAACTTTTTTGAATATCTCCCAAAAGATGTCTGGTTTAGACATTTATGATCTTCCTAAATCTCTTGAAACAAGCTTTCCTAATTGAAGATGATGTCCCATGGAAATCATATTTCTTTCACCACCTCCAGTTATACTCCCTAACCCACAAGTTCTTGAAAATTTTAAGGTCACTCAAGCCCTATTGGCAAGTAAAGGTCTATGTGTGGTCACATCTTGGAGATGTAGTCACATATTGACAAGCCGGGAGAGTTGGGTGTCAAAGTCTTGAGAAAGTTGGTGGTCCAATCACTTTCTAAGTCTCATAGTGAGTTCCTTTGGGACTCTTATGAAACAGACTATGACAAGACCCTTAATGATCTTATCTATTTGCTAAGATCAACTTCCTAAAAGTTTAAGGACATTGACAATGATGACACTGTAAATCCAGAAAAAGCTTTCTCTTCCCAATGGAAAGGGGTCGGCCATAGTCAACTCGGTTGACCAAATGGTAAAGAGAAAAGCTAAGTCTTTGATAGTCCTGCATACCATTACCAAAGGTTCCATTTGTTTATATTGCCAAAGGAAGGGGCATTAGTTGCAAAGCTGCCAATTTTAACTAGGGATGTTAAAGTCAATAAGTTTGACTCTACTTCAAGTAATGTCCACTATCTAACTCTACTCTGAGATTCTTGATACATGATGTGACTGGGTCACATGGTGATGTTTTAAGAATCAAAGAAGAGTGAAGGAACTTAAAGAAAGAATATGTATGATTGCGTAGATGGATTTCTATCGCATAGTTTGAAGATCGGATTCTTGAGCTACTTCTTAGGAGTTATGAGATATTGCTTAGGAATAGATAACACCAAGTTTTCATATGGATTGTAAGGATAAGTTTTTCCACAAAGTTTTATAAAAGGAAATGTTTGATTTTATTTATTTTATGTATCCTTACAATGGCGTTTGTGGAAAATTGTTGGTTATAAGATTCCACTGATAGCAATATTGGAAAGTGAATTTGATTCTTTCATTTGTGGTAATGTCTAAATTTACCAAATAAGGAAAGATCCTCATCACTCAAGTTTCAATTGGACCAGAACTTGGAATCATGCAAGTTGTATATCATGATCTATGAGAACTTTCAAGCATTGGAAAAATTAAGACTAACTACTTGTTCACATGGATGTGTGAGTCAAGTGAAGGACTAATGGATGTAATTTATTTTTGTATTTTTTTAATTAGAACTTTGTGTTTAAACACTAATTCCAATGGGTTATTGCAGGTTGCTGTTCAGGCAGACATCAAGCTTCTCCACCAGCCTTGCCAGCAACAATTACCTTATGTGTCCCTGAGTACCTATACAAGAATGACAACCTTACATCTTAAATGGCTACCTTACCATTGATGCACCCTTTAACTTCTCTGTTGTGGAAGGGCAGTATCATAATTGTGTTTATGGGCATGAATATTACATATTTTTCTTTTCTTATTTCTATCCCAGAGCATCTACATAAGGAAGAAGGTGAAAAATGCACAACCACCACGCAAGTGATGAGAAATTGAGCATTTAGAAAGAAGTTTGGTCTTCGATCAAATAGTTGTTCATAAAATTGATAAGTCTTACCTTTGCAACTGCTTCTTTCTTACAGGTTGCAGTTCTCCAAATGTTGGAAAAACAGACGGGCCCCAAGTCATTTTATAAAGTAAGATGGTTAGCTTTACCTTCATTCCTTAGTGTTATACTACTAAACTAATAAGGCATCTTCATTCCACTGTATTATTATTATTCTTCATGGCAATGGTAGGTTTTGAAGAATCTGGTTGCACCACCTAAATATACAGCTCGTCCTTTGCGAACTCTCAGCACAAAAGAGGTGATTGCTTTGATTTCACATGAAAAAAAATATTATTATAAATTGATGGTAATTTTAAAATTTTAAGATGCAGTTTCGCCACCTAGCTAATGAAGTTGTTTATTTCTTCTACCTGTCCATTGAAAAATATACCCAGTTATAGAATTTTTAAAGTAAGAAATTCTTTTAACGTACAATGCTTTAGTTTTTTGTAAGAAAATTATTAAAGTGCAACTATGACCTTTTCTGCCTTGTTAAGGCCTTTTGGCATGATCGGATTGAGGCAATTTTTGCTTTAGCTAGCATAGCATCCAAGGTATTATACTTATTTGTATAAATAACTGAAATACCCTTTCTGAGGTTATTACTAGATTTTCTTGATATTGGTCATTGACTGAAATACCCTTTCCTAAAGGTTAATTTTCTTTTCATGCTCAGGCCAAATGACTTTCATGATTTTGTAGAGTATTTTGTACAAATCAGGTGGAGGTGGAGGTGCTGCATTGAGGTTATTACTAGATTTTTTTTTATATTGTTCATTGACTGAAATACCCTTTCCTAAAGGTTAATTTTCTTTTCAACCTCAGGCCAAATGACTTTCATGATTTTGCAGAGTATTTTGACTGAAATACCCTTTCTTAGGTTGTATTTCATATTGGAGTAGACAACAACCTAACCACGGCCACACAACAGCATTTGCTAATATTTATCACCCGCCTCAACTGGTAATCACTGGTGCAGTTGACCCATTGGCAGGTGGTGGACCGGGTAGTCCGGACATGGTGGGACCTGCAACAACAGCTAGTGTCTATCAGCAGCAACAACCCCAACCAACTCAAGTCAACTGGCCTAACAACTACTAAAGTAACAAACTTCAACAATCAAAACCCAAAACATAAAAAGGTATGAATGGATGGAATTGGATTATTAGGGATTTGATTTGAGTGTAAATCATCTTATATAGGAGGGAGAGGAGGTTGGAAGTTTTTCATGGGTTTAGAGCATTCTAACACTACCTAAGTGTACATGCAACCCTAATAACCTTGAATCTATGTTTCCTCTATATACATGCAAATTTCTTTTTCAAGGTTATTTCCTAACTAGCATGGCATGGGGATTACATAAAACATAAAGAACTAGTAGAAATACATACCTTGTTGTTGCTTGGATTCCTTCAAGACTTTTTGAGCCTAGCACCCCAAATGTTGTGCCTCAAATGCTTCACACAACACCACAAAACTTGGAATAACTTGAGAGAATACTTCTAGCACTCAAAATCGGTTATGCCCTCTCTAGTAACCTTACTGGCACCAATTTCATTAGCCAAAGGGTTCCTTTTATAGTGGTGTCACAATTAGGGTTTCATTAAGAAGACCCATAATTATCATGACTCTTCATTTCTCATGACCCATGGGTTTGTAACTCCCATGGACTATCCATGGAGCTCCAAATGGTTACATCCATAACCTATAAACCATGGATCATTAATCCACCATAAAAGAATTGATGATTGTCATAATCAACCCTTATATATTTAATTAGTCTCACTTTGATCACCAAATTAATACTAGTTTAATACTCGCTCAAATACTAATTAAACAATACTATTATTAATATATTAGAACTTATAATATATTAATAATCATAAGTACCTTATTCTCTCATTTAGTCTATCCAAGTATTGCAATGCCATGCAACCCAAATGGACCATGCCGGGTCGGGTCAAGTTCATACCAAATAAAGTTATGGACTTAGACACTATATCCAACAGTCTCCCACTTCGATAAGTCTAATAACTATATTTGCAAATATGACTTCAAAACCTGACAAGAAATCGTAGCTCTTTCAAAGTCTCTCGGAACTGAGATGCTGATGATACGCCATTTAAGATAAGTGATCATATAATCCTCTACTCTCATGATATCAGTCGGACAAACACATGGAACATGGTCTTACTTATTGTCCAGCATTTGTTTCTCGATCTTCGATTTGTTTCGACATAGAACTAAATTGAACACACCAATTAGGTTCTGACCGGGCCCGATACATGGGTCAAAACGAAATCATCGAGGGGCCCAGATATCGCTTCTATTTCTAGAAGGAACAGATAAACATCGACTTATATGCTTGTACTAACTACTTGTTGAATTACTCACAAAGGCACGTTTTATAACATCGAGTTACCAATGCGTTTTCGTACAATCAATGAATAACCAATTCATAGTCAACAACTCATATCTCTAGGTTTGAAGATTTATATGATATTACCGTCTCACGATCACTCGAGATACATTCCATGACGTGATACAAGTGAGCGTGGGTTGAATCCAATACTAAACCCTTATGAGTACTCATAAATGTTGTAGCAACCATTGCATTGTCCAAAGCACTTTAGACAAATCGTACAAGCCAAATTCATGACAGTCTTAAATCAATACTTACTTCCAAAGTTTGACTGACTATGGATGGTTTGAATAATATGATATATACCATAACATAATTATTCTGGAAGTAAAAACATGCAAATTTGAAACATAGTAAACAATCAACATAAGATTGTAACACCTTACTCATAAATAAATAACAAATTTTATTTATCATCAAATGTCAATTACATTTTACAAGTTTTAGGAATCTAATTATTGAAATTAATATCATCCTTCAGCCCAATGCGCCTTGCATGCTGTAAATGCTTAACCCTGCTCAGTCCCTTCGTGATGGGATCCGTCGGGTTCTCATTTGATGATAACCTCTTTGCCACGAGGAGTCCTTCTTATATTCTATGTTTGATGAAATGATATTTTCTGTCAATGTGCCTAGATCTTCCGTGATCTCTTGGTTCTTTCACCAAAGCAACCGCACTTTCACTGTCACAAAAAATTTCCATTGGCTCATTTATAGCTGGTACAACTCTAAGGTCTCCAATGAAGTTCTTTAGCCATATCGCCTCTTTTTTTTTGCCTCGCTTGCTGCTATGTACTCTGATTCACAAGTCGAATCAGCTACTGTCTCCTGCTTGGAACTTTTCCAAGTAATGGCTCCTCCATTTAGGATAAAGACCCAGCCTGACTGAGAGCGAAAATTATCCCTATCAGTTTGAAAGCTAGCATCACTATATCCTTCCACTCTCAAGTCATCACTGCCTCCGAGGGTAAGAACCCAGTCGTTAGTCCTCCGCAAATACTTAAGAATGTTCTTTACCGCTGTCCAGTGTACCTTGCCAGGGTTCCCTTCATATCTACTGAACATGCTCAAAGCAAAGGCCACATCAGGGTGAGTATAAGTCATAGCATACATGATCGAGCCCACAGCGGAAGCATATGGTATCTGACTCATTTCAGCTATCTCAGCCTCTGTACTCGGACTCTGAGTCTTACTTAGTTTGACATTACTCTGGATTGGTAACTCTCCTTTTCTTGGAATCTTGCATACTGAACCTCTTCAGTACCTTATCCACATAAGTACTTTGACTAAGTCCAATTAGTCTCTTACTCATATCTCTCAATATACTTATCCCTAGGATATAGGCAGCTTCCCCAAGGTCCTTCATAGCAAAACACTTCCCAAACCATGCCTTAACCTCCTACAAAGTTGGGATGTCATTTCCTATGAGAAGTATGTCATGCACATACAGCACCAAGAAGCTAACTATGCTCCCACTATCCCTGACATATACACAAGACTCATCCTCACTCCTAGAAAAGCCAAACTCTTTGACTTTCTAATCAAAGCAAAGATTCCACCTGCGAGATGCTTGTTTCAATCCATAAATGGATTTTTCAAGCTTACACACTCTATTAGGGTACTTTAGATTGACAAAACCCTCTGGCTGATCCATGTAGACATCCTCAGCCAACTTCCCATTAAGGAAAGCGGCTTTGACATCCATTTGCCATATTTCATAGTCATGAAATGCATCCATGGCTAACAACACTCTAATAGACTCAATCTTGGCCACTGGTGAGAAGGTCTCATCATAGTCAACTCCCAGAGTTTGAGTAAAGCCCTTTGCAACCAGTCGCACTTTATAAGTGTGTACTTTCCCATCCATGTCGGTCTTCTTCTTGAAGATCCATTTGCACCCAACTGTCTTACGACCTGGTACATTGTCAACCAAGTTCCAAACTTGATTGTCATACATGGACTGAATCTCGTTGTCCATAACCTCCTTCCATTTCGCAGACTCAGGGCCTGCCATAGGTTCCTTATAATTATTAGGTTCATCCAAATCTATCAGTGTACTATCACTGATAAATATATCACCTTCAGTGGTGATGTGATAAACATAATAAAATTCAGGCGTGTTCCTCACCCTAGTGGAACGTCTTGGAGGTACAGACTCATCTATCGGCTCAACAGGATTTTCCTTCTCCGGTTGGCTGACAGTATTTGAGGTTCCTTCACCACTTGACTCTTGAAGCTCTTCAAGGTCAATTTGCCTCCCACTGTTCCCTTGGCTTATGAATTCTCTCTCACGAAAGACTCCTCTTCTTGCTACAAAGACCACATTATCACTGGGTCTGTAGAAGAGGTAACCAAAGGATCTCTGTGGGTAGCCGATGAAAATACACCTCTTTCTTCGGGGCTCAAGCTTGTCACGAGTCTCACGCCTCACAAAAGCTTCACAACCCCAAATCTTGATGTGGTCCAAATTGGGCACTTTCCCAGTCCGCATCTCGTGAGGTGTTTTGGAAACCTTTTTAGTAGGGACTAGATTAAGGATGTGGGCGGAAGTCTCTAAGGCATACCCCCAGAAAGATATTGGTAACGAAGCTTGACTCATCTTGGAACGAACCATATCTAGCAGGGTTCGATTGCGCCTCTCAGCCACACCATTCAACTCTGGTGTCCTGGGAGGTGTCAATTGCGAGACAATCCCACATTCCTTAAGATAGTCAAGGGACTCAATGCTAAGATACTCTCCTCCCCGATCGGATCAGAGCATCTTGATGTTCCTGCCCAATTTATTTTCAACTTCCTGCTTAAACTCTTTGAACTTTTCAATGGTTTCTGACTTATTCTTGATTAAGTAAATATATCCATATCTACTATAATCATCAGTAAAAGTCACATAATAACGATTAGTATCTCTTGTAGCAACTCTGAAGGGCCCACACACATCCATGTGTACAAGGTCCAACAAACCTTCACCCTTATCACATGTACCTGTGAAGGGTGACTTTGTCATTTTTCCAAGCAAACAAGACTCGCAACTATCATCTGACTTGAGGTCAAACAATTTCATGACTCCAGCCTTTTGGAGTTGGCCTATGCGCTTCTTGCTAACATGTCCAAGACGACAATGCCACAAAGATGCTTTATCCAAGCTATCAGAAGAATCAATATACAACACATTATTTCCTAGCTTGTCAACAACATTCACGGCTTCATATACACCATCACAAGGTATTTCTTTAAAGTAAAATACATCATTGTAATAAACTTTAATAGCACCATTTTTATTATCAAATGAAAATGTAAAACCTTGTTTGTACAAGCCATGAGAGGAAATAATATTTCTCGCCATTTCGGGCGAGTAACAACACTTATTCAAATCTAACATTAACCCATTATTAAGCAATAAAGAATAAACTCCTATCTTGGTAACAGGTGATGCTTTCCTGTTGCCCATGACTAAGTTTATCTTCCCATGCTCCACTTGCTCACTTCTTCTTAGTGCCTGCAAATCAGTACAAATGTGAATACCACACCCTGTATCAAGCACCCAAGAATTGGCATTAGATGAGCTGTTAGACAATATTGTCTAAATACCTGCATGGGTGGGTTTAACCTTCCCATCCTTTACATCTTGCAGATATTTGGTGCAGCTTTGCTTGAAGTGTCCCTTATCTTGGCAATAGAA